AGTCTGAAAAGATTCTGTAAATAAGTGCTAGCTAATAAACCTTGCTGATTGAACCTACATGTTCTCCAGGAGTTCCTTGGGCTAGGCCTGACATCAATCTTTAGCAGGAACTGTGAGTCCAGAAGGAGGCCCTTTTAACATGTGAGCTGCTGAGAATCATCAAACTGCAGCGGGATCATGGCCAGTTAGTTGTAATTCTTTTTTCAGCTAAATGAATTATAGGACAAGAAATCTGAGATGAGATTGTAGGTGATACAGCTCAATGCTACCTGAAATTCTGGAACAAGTGAACCAGATTGAGAGATACCAGCTTCCCCAAATACGGTGAAGATTCAGCATGACACTGTGATGTTCTGCTGCAAAAGGGCAATCTCGGCATGAAGCTTTTTTGAGATAATCCCTAGCTTTCCTGAGGCAGTTGGTTTATGAGCATGATGTAGGTGAAGATAGGACTATGATTTGTAGTTTGTATTTCTTGGTACAATATCTTTAAATAAAGGCAACCCATTGTAAAGCAGCCTGTTTCAGCTGCTAGCTTAGCCTGAAATTCCTAGGGCTTACCTAACCACAACTCATATTTCAAGCAACATCCTCCACCATGTAACAAGACAGTATTTTAACATCCCTGCTGAAGAACAACATATACACAAACACATTTATTTTGTAGAAGATATTGTTCATTATTTATTATACACATAAGAATGAAAGGGAGTGACTTTTGCCTGATATTTAAAAGGAGTGTCAGGATAATCACCTGAAGCTATGAGACATTTCCTTTTTACTTATGTGATTCTATTTATAAAATCCTAAGGAAACTTCCCTGGGCAGTTTTTTTTACAACTAAAGAATCTTAGTTGTCACATTTGTAATTATTGTTTATCCTTTGTACATGTACTGCAATGGACTTTGGCTAAATGCAAATAAAAATAGGACAGGTGTCTGAATAAGTATGAACTACAGCAATGGCTTCTAGTCTATGGCACTGTAGTGCCTCATAAGGTGGCCGCTAATATAAAAATATTTTTTAAAAACCCACCCCATTTGCAGCATTTTGTCATTCTTATTCAAAATTTTGCAAAACCCAACATCTTGTGATGTTTGACAACTTTGCAAGATTTAGTCAATTTTCAATTGCTGGATGTTGCAGATGCCATCAGGGGAAAAACCCCTGAGCCATGAGCCCCCTTTGATACAACCCCTAGCTTATGTAGAGATGCCATATGCTTTCCAGGCAATGGAATGGTTTCTAGGCAAGAAATGTTTGGGAACTAGGACACCATGCAGATGACTCTACTTCTGAAATAAGCATTGTGCAATAATGCCTTTTAGCTTCATATCAGGTAACTTTACCTTGCAATCATCAACAATAATTATTTTTACCCCATCTTGTTTATTTTATTTTATTTTATTTTATTTTATTTTTTGAGCAAGTGCAATTACCTACAAGCCAAAGCTGCCTTCAGGCCAAAAAAGGATTTACTGCTGCAAACATATCCAGCCACACTCATCATATTTAAGTGTACATGCCCCATTTTCATGCTTCATTATTTCATTACTTTATTCAAGTGCCCAACTTTATCTGGAAAGTTCTGAGGGTAATGTATAGCACTTAGGCGGCTTCAAAATAAAACAAAGCATGATCAGAAATTGTAATGGTATGTGGGAATGACCTTGCGAGACAGAGGGAAGAACCACACCCAGGGGGATGATCAGATAAGAGGCAGCTGAGCCCAAAGCAGGAATATGGATGTGGCAAACATCTCAAAAGGGACTCTCCCTAGTTTCTTGGGCTGTACAGGCAACAGGGATGAAATGTACTTTCAGACCTGCAAGATTCTGTTAATGTAACCTTTGTAGAATTAGTTCATGTGGGTGTGCTTCCTGTCTGGACTATCTTGCAAGGCTGACCGAAACGGAGAGGCATAAATCTAAACAAATTAGCACTGAAAGTACATTTATATTTTAAAATATATAAGCATTACTTAAAATACCTGTGCAAAGAAGATTCAAATTCAGCATTGGCACCTTGAGAAAACATTCCAAGGCCCGGATACCACCAGAAAGAAGGCCCACTCTTTTGTTGGCTGGAGTTAAGCCAACAATAGGTGGGACAATTGGGAAAAAGAGAAACAAAGCCAACTGGCATGTCTGAACAAATCCCCTTTCTTACTACATTATTAGACCACCATAGCTTCTTAATCAAAGATTCTATATAGGCAACATTTCAAAAATAAATTTCACCTGGGCCAAACATTTACACTTTAAGCATGGATCAAGACAGCCAGTTTGGTATAGTGGTTAAGGCACCAGGCCAGAAACCGGGAGACCATGAGTTCTAGACCCACCTTAGGCACAAAGCCAGTGGGGTGACCTTGGGCCAGTCCCTCTCTCTCAGCCCCAGGAAGGAGGCCATGGCAAGCCACTTCTGAAATCTTGCCAAGAAAACTGCAGGGACTTATCCAGGCAGTTGCCAGGAGTCAAAACTGACTCAAAGGCACAAAAACACAAAAAAGCATGGATCAAGCGTGTGTTCATTTGTGTACCATGGCAAAATTAGCTGCTAACCATTTATCCTGTTAACATAACGCTTGTAAAAAATTTTATCTAGCCACTTTTGCACAGTATAAATCATCACTAAACAACCAGACTAAAAAAATCTACAAAAATGGGTGGCCAAGGGACACAACATGCAAGGCACTGCTATCATCAAAGTGCATAGTGCCAATTTTTTCTTTTTTTCCACCAAAACCCAGCAGGAGATCATGCAGCATTTCTGAAAAATCTGCCATCTGAATTCAGCCACACAAATTTCTGAAGGCCACAAAAAAGAGGGCTTGGGGATGCTGCACGTTGCCCATCCTGAGAGATCACCAGGCAGCAGGACTTCCTACTTCTTACAGAATGTACCAGAAGGGAGAGGAAATAGATGGTAAAGGAAATTGTTGGAAACTAGCACTGCTTATTCCAGTCTCCCAGTTTTCAATACCAGGCAACTTCTGCAAGCAGCAAAAACAGCATAGTGGTTATAGTCAAGATGGCAGTATTTAAATTCATAATTGATTTATTATCCTTCTCCTCTCTGCTTGCTTGCTTGCTTTTCTTCCTTTCTTTTTTCCTTCCTTCCCTCCCTCCCTCCCTCCTTCCTTCCCTCCCTCAATTTCTACAGCCTCTTGTATGCCTCTCTGTGCAACAACTCCTCACATCAAAGCTCTACACTTGTGTCTGGATTACACACCTGCCCATCAAAGGCATCTTGCTGCTGCTCAGCAATCTAATGCTGGTTCCAAATGGAGCAGAAGGACCTAGATCAGCTACTCCCATCCTGGGATGTTGGCCTGTAGCTACCAAAAAGCCCACTAATCAGGCTGGTTGGAGAGAACAGGAGTTGTAACCCTCACCAACAGAATTTTTACCTTTAAAGTAGGGTAGCTGTTTATTCCAAACTTATAGCAGATGTTCTTATTGGAAAAATCAGCACAGTCTATCACTCCCAGCATCACAGCAGGTCTCCAGTCTAGAAAGACAGAAAATAATTCATATTTTTCCAATCTGTTAAAACATATGGCTGAGCTGTATGTAAAATGATTAGGTGGCCAGGAGTTTTTCCTTAACTTTTTGTTCTGTAAAATACCCAAGGACTGTTTATAAAGTGAGAAAAAAGAATACTTTTTTCAACTTCCAGCAAAGATTTGCTGGACATCCCTGACATCAAGAGAATGGCAAGCAGAAAAATCTCTGGATATTAACCATTAACCCTGGGTTTTAAAGTGATTCGTATTTTGGCAAGTAGTTCCTAAAGAAGAAGGAGAAGGAGAAGCAGGAGCATGGGAAAGGTGAAGACAAGGGCCCAATCTGGCAGCAAACGAAAGAAAGCAAAGGAAGATAAATGAGGGACAGTACAAAAGTCTAGAGGTAAAATCAAAGAGAACATTTGGCACAGAACTGCAAAGGTAGAAAACATAGTTGTAGATGTTCATATAGATTCATTGGTGCACATAGTACACATATGAAAGATTTTTGTCACCCAGCATATAACTAGCCTGTAAAACTCTATAGGACCCAAAAATGGTCAGGAATCCCATTCTACTTTAGATAGAAGATTTAGACCATGGTTAAGAAATTACCACTAACTTAGCTATGATGTCATTTCCAATAAATTCTCAGATGAAAGGTGCTATAAAAACTTTCAGTAAAAGGTTTGCCTGGCTGAAAAAGCCCGTCGGTACTACCTCAGCTTTCTGATCTTTGGAACGTATATTTCCAAGAATTTGAGACAGTACACAAGAAATGCAATGGTGGGTGCATTCGGCTTTGTCAAAAGAAAAACATGGTCTTCTATGGGCAAGTGGCCTGACTTAGAAAACCTGTTTTGATGCACCACCTGTATTCAGTGGTTCCCAGTTTGGCAGTTAGCATAGTATAATTTTTAGCAAAGAAGATCAGAGCTTAAATCCCTGCTTAGCAATGAAGCCCACTGGGTTACCTTGAGCCAGGCATTATCTTTCAGCCCCTTCCCTCCATCTTTAGTTCTGGATGGGGCTGCACCACCCCAGCCAGAAAACAGGTGCAACTCGGGGATCCTCCTGGCCTCATGGCTCCTGTTCAAGGTGCAGGTGGCAGCCATAACCAGGAGGGCCTTTGCTCAATTTCATGTTGTGCACCAGTTGTGCCTGTTCCTGGACCATGAGGCTCTGCTCCCAGTCACTCATGCCTTGGTCACCTCCCAAATGGACTATAATATACTTTACATGAGGCTGCCCCTGAAGAGCATTCAGAAGCTACACCTGATACAGAATGCAGCTGCACAGACAATTGTGTGTGGTTCTTGGTTAGTGCATGTTACACCTCTGTTTCACGAGCTACGTTGATTGCCAGTGTACTTCCCATACAATTCAAGGTGACCTATAAAGCCCTTCTTGGTATGGGGCTGGGTCATTTTAGGGACCATCTCTCCCCCAAGCACTTCTACCCATCCCATCAGGTCCAGCAGCAAGAAGATATTCTGGGTCCCATCTATTAGGGAGTGCCATCTGGTGGGGCCCAAGAAGAGAGCCTTTTCTGCCACGGCACCTGCCCTTTGGAACCTCATTCCCTCAGAGATTCGATTGGCCCTGACCTTGTTGGCCTTTTGCAATGTCTTAAAGACACGGTCCTGTCACCAGGCCTGGGGAATCAGGTGTGTGTCTGAGCCTGTGCAATGGTTGTGCTGACTACTGTTGTGGTTTTCAGCTTGGCTGCATTTTTTTAATGTGTATGTTGTTGTTTTCATTGTTTTATATTTTTATGTTGTTTTTAATTATTGTTAGCTGCCCAGAGTCATGAATTTGAGATGGGGAGCCATATAATTCAAATAAATAATTACATACATACATACATACATACATACATACATACGTGAACTTCAACTTCTAGAATTCCCAGCAATGGCCATGATGACTGGGAATTGGGAGTATGAAAGTTATCTAAGTTGAAGAACTGATTACTTATATATAACTGCAGATTTACAAATGATCATCTGTACACATGGGCTATGTACCTGGAAAAAGCCCTGCTCAGAACCTTCTGGAGCCTATAAAATTGGTGAGGACATGCATATTGGAGGGAGGTTGTAGAGGGCATAGGAAATGGCCTTGAAGGACAGGAGGAAGAGCCACTACAAGGCAACGGTCAGATAAATGGGGTTTGAGCCTGGGCCAAGAAACTAATTTGAGAAAACATCTCAGACAATCCCCTCCCTACACAAAGATAAAGAGTTGGGGAGCACGTTCAGACATGCAAGATAGCTTTACAATAAAAGTGGTCTTGACCTATACGACATTGGTGTCTTAGTCTGGTCTACCTTGCAGGGCTGACAGAGATGTAAAGGAAGCATCTTTCGGGAAATTGTCTGAAATCAGCCATGAATGCTGATTTTGCCCAGAAAGTAGAACAGAGATTACCACCTATAGGAGGGTGCCTAGTAACTGGCAAAGGTGCTGGCCCTAACTCTTTTGTGGAAGCAATCTTGTACATACATGTTAGTTGCAGCAGTGGTAAAATGGTGCTATTTATTGTAGTCCCTAATGAATTATATAATCCAAGAAGAAAGATTTCTCATAATTGACCTGGAAGCTGATAAGCTTTAGTGACTGAATGATTTCAGGCAAAATGGTGCGATAGCCCTGGCAGGAGAATGCACCATTAGGGGCCAGTCCTCTAGATAAGTGAACAATCTGTCCTTACTGGAAAGGCCCATGACAGTAATTGAAGACAATACAAAGGACTCCAAGCTCCTGACACATTCTTGCATTGATGTGATAAAAGTCCTTCTGTTTAAGCCACAGAAGATAAAGTCACACTTCTTGATGAGGGCTATTTCAGTTTAAAACTATGTGTTTTTATCAACTAATGACTGAACTTTGTCAACTGCATTACCCAAGCTCAAATCAACTTGCTGGTACTAACCTTTAGCTATGAAACAGCTTGATCCCAATTTACCTGAAAAACATCTTGCTGTTTCGCACATATTTAATCAGAAAAGCAAGCATATCTTCTTCTCCCAAAAGGCCATTGTTATATTTTTGCACAATATGGAGGATGGCAGTGCGGATGGAAAGATGGAAATATAGAGGAGTAGAGGTGGCTCAGAATTCTGATAGTTAATAGTCCCAACACATCTGGGAAGCACCAGGTTGAGGAAAGTTGGGATCATGAGCTTAAATCTCAAAATCAACATATGAAATGTGATAAAGGACACAGATATCTCTTCCCATAAGTCAGAAAGCAGTTGATAACTATTTCCCAGAGGACATGCACCTGCTTTCCTATTTCTATCATTGGTTCAACAGGATTTTAGCCAAATTCTTTCATCTACTCTTCCTCATACACAAAATTTCAGTAATCATAATAATGTCAACTGATCCTGGTGAAAAGGACTGCTTTGCTTACGTATGCTTCCTAAAATATCAGGTATCCTTTCCTGGATCAGGAGTACAAAGCTGCTCTGCGTCTTCAGAAATTGAGCAGCATATAAGCGGATGAAATAAAGAGAAGCAAGAGAGTGGGTAGGAGGGAAAGCAGACAGACAGAACCGATAAGTAGCTGCTCTAGGATTCAGATCAGGCTTGTAGTTGGGGAAGAGAGGGCAAGAGGGACCATCCCTCCAATTTCCTTTCACCGCCTAAATTTTTTGGGGGCTATGGACCTGATTTAGGTTTACCAGTGCTTCAACCCACAGCTTAAGTCCCCTGAGATCTGTCATAAATGGAAGACTGGACAAAGGACCAATGAAACACTGAATTAAAACAGCTTAATTCTTTCTCTTTCCGCGGTTTAAAGATCAAGGCAAGTGACAGGATCTACTATGGGCCATTCACTTTATTTCCCACGATCCTGATCCAATAGCTTCATAGCCTGTAGTCCCACACAAGAAACAGAAGCAGGAGAGGAAAAGATCTGATAAAAGGCATTTACTTAAATATAAAATACAGAACTTTACAATGTTATGCTTCAATGGAACATTTGCAAACTCCACACTCACCACTGGGAAGGATTTGCAACCTCTGTAAGAAAGACCTAAGCTAACCTTTTTCTCCAGCCTATTGTTTTTCATTTGTTGACTACAATACCCATTACTGCAATTTTGTATGGCATTGGTTAGTAAATATGGAACTTGCAGTCCAACACAGTGAAGAATGCAAAGTTAGAGAAATGCTGGCTTAGATACTAATGACTTGCTGATTTCTAGGCACAAAGCAATAATTGTTCCACGTGGGAGGAAACGTCATTCTGTCCACTGAAGCATTTGAAAGTCCTTTTGGCCAGAAACCTTGCAGCAAAAGTTACCTAATGGACTTATGGTCACAGTCAACAGAATTAAATTGCTATAGATTTCCTGGATCACAAGCCAAAGCTACAAAGTCAAGCTGTTTGAATGTTTTCCCACACAAAAGTTCCCTGCTCACAGAAAATTATTATATAGATAATTCAGTACAATTTGTAAGAGCTGTTCAGTATAGCACTGGGCTAAGGATCTGGTTTACTGTACTGTACTGTTTGTTGTATTATGATTTGCTCTCAGGGACTTCATTTTTTCCCCATCTTCATAATAACCCTGCAGGGTAAGTTAGGTGGAAAGAAATCCCCTGGTCCAAAGTAAGCTACTGCACTCCATAGCTATTTGAGGGCAGGTTTCCTGAGCATCTACCTTCTGCACCATGCAGGCTGCCTTGGATGTGATGTGGCCAGAGTTAAGGAAGACCACATCTTGCAAGTGGCAGCCAACACAAAGCTTCAGAATTAGGCAGGCTAGCTAGTCTGGTGTAGTGGTTAAGGCACCAGGCTAGAAACTGGGAGACCGTGAGGTCTAGTCCCACCTTAGGCACGAAGCCAGCTGGGTGGCCTTGGGCCAGTCCCTCTCTCTCAGCCCTAGGACGTACTGTAGGCAATGGCAAACCCCTTCTGAAACCTTGCCAAGAAAACAGCAGGGACCAGTCCAGGAGGTCATCAGGAGCCAAAAAGTGACTCAAAGGCCCC